TCAGAGTGGTATAGGGGCCCGTGAAGGCGCCTCCCACACGTGTCGTCGGCACCAGAACAATCTGGGTGCCGGTACTGTCGGTGCCGGCCGGCGCGAGAGTCACCGTAGTGGGCACCGAGTTGGTTCCAGCTGCAGTCAGAGTGGTATAGGGGCCGGTGAAGGCACCACCCGCACGTGTCGTCGGCACCAGAACAATCTGGGTGCTGGTTCTATCAGAACTTCCCTCATCTGTATGAATTGTCCTCGATGTCTCTCCCGGATCTACAGTATGATAGCTGTCTGTCGGGCTACATACGATCTTCGTGCCAATGTCATTGCTTCCAGTAGGTGGAAACACGAATGTGGAGGGCTCAGATCCAGTCGGCGCGGCTTCAAAGATCGTTGTATAGAAACCATCAAAGGTGGTTGCCGGGTTCCTGTTGTTGGCCATGTCAATCTTTGATATCCTACAACGCATTCTTTGCCACTCACCTGGTGGAAAAGTATGTGACATTGCTGGTGATCATGAAGCTAGTAGCGACAACGGTCGGTACGTCGTAGTACCGTAGCTCTTTCCCGGCAACAGTCATTACTGTCGGGAAGCATATCGTCGTGTTGATGGCCACTGGAATTTGCTTCATAAAAACTACTGGCTGAATCGTCAGGGCATCGCTCTTAGGGCCTTGACAGGTCGCTTGTGACAAACTGACCACAGTCAAGGCCATAAGGCAGCCCAAGGCTACCGTAGTGAATCTGCCGTGCATCATCGCAGAAGTGGCAATAGTGACTTGAATGAAGATAGTTTGAGTTGTAAGCTTGCAGAGGCGAGTGCCTTTTCCTTACGACGCAGGTCGAAGCGGACTTTCGCTTTATACCTCCGTCTCCTTACGTCTCGTTGATCCAAGCCGTACATTGAGCCCTCTGTCAGACAGAAGCCGCGAACGGAATGTCATTCATATTCAACGTGGAGCCTAGTAATCTCCCATGAGGAAGGCCTATCAGCTCAGGTGCGCCCGACTTGGACGAGTGTAACGATCGGCACATTCTCGTCGCTGAATCCAGACATCATGTCGTTTTAGGTACTGGCGCGAGATAATCATCTTGTGGAATCGCGGCTGAGAAATCCACACGGGAGCTGAAGCCTTGGTTTCTTGAGTCAACTCTCGCGCCTTTCGAGGTGTACACATCTCAGGTGCAAGCCATGCGATGTCCGCCAACACCAGCGGTTGCGTCCTAGTCATACCCGGAAGCATCTGCCGCCGGCGATTCCTGCAGCGGCCAGGCTCTTCTGGGCGTAATGGCTTGAAGTTTCAATGATCCCCGGTGAATAGCAAAGACATGCCGAGATGGCTGGGCTGCTGTGATAGATGGAAGTGGTCTCGACGCAGTCCGAGACCCGTAGTGCCGACTCCAAATCACAACTCTCAGCTGGCGTTGCTTCTGTCACGACTCAAAAGCCATTTCCGGGCGGTCTTCTGCAAGATTAGTAAAATTAGCTTTCAGCTCGAAGAATGACTAGAGATTGCGAAGAGGACTCACCAAGACCGGATGCGGGGTTTTCTCTTTTTTTGTGAAGCCGGAGATGCTTGCTCGATGTGAGCTCGATGAGGTGTCGGTGTCCACGCTGTGCTATCGACTCAGGGCTGGCCTGCGTAGGTGTATAAAGAGGCACCTCTATCGCTAGGCAGTGGGGAGGTATCATCATCCCGTGGAACATTACTTCTCCCCCTAGTAGCAAATCTCAATACAAGATGTTGCCCATCTTCTCTCTTCTTCTCCTGCTGAGTCTTGCCCACGCAGCTCCTCAAGTTAGCTACAAGGCCGATGATTGCGAGACCGCGTCAACTGCTCTGCCGGTCACATTCACCATCCTGGCGCCTACGCACACCATTGGATTTGACGGAACTCAGAAAGCCTGCGGTGTGCTCACTGCCGTGAGCTCTGCAATGGGCCTGCCGAAAGAGTCGTTTTCACAAGGCTCGCTCCAGCAGCATTCCACGGGTGCATCAGTTTTCCCCGTGTCTAGTCAAAGCACACAGGCGATCTCGTACTGTGCTTCGGGAACTTGTCTGTCGCTCGCCACCAAATCGGCTCCAATTCATAGCGTGACCGTAGCACCCGGGCTCAGCATGGTGGATGCCAGCCCGGTTGTTCCTGCTGCAACCTCATCAGGATCGCCAGCGAAAATCAGTCATGCCGAGACGTCTTCCATCAATCGTCTCCCGCAGCCAACTTCAGCTCGGACTACCGGAAGTGAACCGACTCTCACTCCCGTAGGAATCTCTGCCGCTGTGCAACCTCAAGTCGTCAGCCTCTTGGTCTTGGCAATGTTGCTCATTTTTACTCTCTTGCTGGCATAGTGGACAGCCGGCTTGCTGTCCAATAATAGTCAGATGGGGACGGAAACTTTAAGAAGCGGAGCAGGACAAGAGACAGGTTTCTTATGACTTGGTGCTATGTGGATCGTGGGATGTAGTTTATCGAGTAGGACGACGGATTCAAGAACATACCCTGATTGTTAGTTTGGTGTCCAGACGGTCATTGGATGTCGTCTTTAGCGTATAATTAGCCTACTCCATCGCATCTAATCTGTATTGGATCTGAGACAGAATTTTCATCTGAAATGACTCTAGAGTGCCACCGGCCGAGTCGCCCGATCTCGGATCCGAGACAACAAACCCTGATCGGCAGCTGGATTTGACTGAGCCTGGTCTCGGCCCGATCCATAGCGTTGACAAGGGACCGAACAGTGGTGGTTCCTCGAAAATGGATCCGCGAATCTTCCTCTCGGCCCTGCAGCTTCACTCTGGAGATCAAGAATGTTATTCTCCTCGGTCCCGAATAGTGCTTTCTGCTGTCTCAATTTCCGGGTGCCAGTGTCGAAAGGAAATTAGAGCACAAACCAGCCAAAGACTTGACCAAGCCTGGTTGGCTTACTGAATGTCCCCCTATCATGTCGCGAAAGCTCCCTTGCAAGGGATCATTTCTCGGGCCGAGGGCAAAAGCGGCCTTACCGAAAGCGCGTTTCTGTCTCCCTGACTCGGACCCTCGGCCTTTTCACTCAGTCTCTGGACTGTGCCAAGCGGGGCAACATTAAAGAATGAATTACAGTACCTTGCCAACAAAACTCCCGTTTGCTCCTATCCAACAACCCCTACTTCGGCTTCCCCTCGAAAGTTATCCAAGTCACATCGAATTAAGGAATCATATGCCTATCGGAATTACGAATTCTGATGAACTTCGGCCTTCTTTGGGCTATTCTGCGAGTGCTGACTCTCAGGGTTTCGGAGGGAGGCCCTGTGTATCATTTCTGGTCACTGGCTTGTGTGACTATATCAATTCAACCTGCTGCCAAGATCTCCGTATGCTTAACCTCGTCTGACCCACTCTTAGTATTGAACCTTATACCATCCGTGTGATCTTCGCAAGCGGCGTGGGTGAGCAGAAGCTCCCTTCGAACAAGCCTACGCCCTTAGTGCCGCGAGAAAACTATGCTCGAGACCCTTCCAGCCCGGTGAGATTGCTTGGAATCATCGCGCTGAGGCATCGTTGGCCGCGTCTGGCTGGGTCCCTCGTAGAACTCAGAGACCGGTTGCGGTTGCTACGGCTCAGCTTGTAAGGCTCGGTTCAGCCGCTGCACAGTAAACATGGCCAGAGCTGACAGAATCGCATTGGACAGGCTTTGTGGCGCAAGGAAGCTTTTGCCAGGTGCTGCCTTCAAGAGCTTTGGAGGCAGTCAGTAATGGGGCCCAAGGATGCAACTAGCGTCACAGCTGCAGGCCTTGTTGGCCGCTCGCCTGCTCAAGCTTGCTATCGCACCGGACTTACTACCGGTGTTTTCCGGCCAGCATTCAGATGAATCCAGCGTGCCACCAGGCTGGTTCAGAGACGTCAGGACCATTTTGTCCGCAACCAGTCTCTTGGCAGGGCCTGGCTGTCCTCCGTGGAACAAGTTCATCGAAAGTGACTTCTTTCACTATCAGGGCTATCACAAGGGCCGAAACTTACACGAGACGCACTCCTGCCACCGCTGCCCTCCAAGCTTTCGGACATCTCACTCGTCATAAAAGCCCAAGCCTTCCTGTGGAGTTCGCAACTGAAATGGTGCAACTGTCAGATTGACCTCCCTGCTTCTACGCAGTACATTCAAAAACGCCCCACTTGGCACCTCTCCAGCTCACGCGTATTGTGGTTCTAGCCTCCCACTTTCAGTCATGGTTTCTCCGCAAATCCGAATCGACTCACTACTCTCCCTACCCGGCGTAACCGGCGTTAGCCGATGCTCCCGTCTTGGCCGAGCGTCAGCTATGAACTCACGAAAGACAACGTCTTCCTCCACTTTCGAAGTAGAATTCTCGACGACGTCGCCCCAACCAAGCTCCACCCACATCGGCCCCGTGGTGGAGTGTGATGGGGAACAGAAGCAGACCCCCACCGAGGGCGAGGATCCCCAGCCCAGTGGTCCATCCTGCAGGCGAGCCAGTATCGCATGTGTGAGATGCCGTCGCTGCAAAGCCAGATGCGACAATGACAAGACCGGGGCGCCCTGCTATACCTGCGCCAAGGCCGGAGTTCCCTGTCACTTCCCGGAACCTCGTCTGCGCCCTACAAAGCGGCCACCGCCATCCGCCATATTCGAGCAAGAGGCGAAAGTAAGGCAAAGCCAGAGGCGGGCTAAAAAGCTCATGGGCTTGTTCCGCTCGCTGGAGCATCGCCGGGCCGAACTTGTCCACGAGGTGTTGGCCGCGTCGTACTTGACAGAGGCCGTGTGGCTACGCATTCTCGAGACTTATAAGCTGCACTTCAGTGCTGAGACCCCATTCATACACTTTCCAGATATCGAGGAGGTCGTGGTCACTCGGCAAGTCACTCGACCTGCGGGAGAGGTCAACTTGATTTTGTTGGGCATCCTCGCTCTCACTACCAGATTTCACCCCGATTTGATCAGATACGTCTCGCTTGCGGCGAACGACGATGCCCCTAGTATGGGAGATGGCTTTGCCCAGCACCCAGAGGCTCCCTACCTCGCTTCAAGGGCCTCGAGCTTCTTCGCAGACACTCTAGCCATTGCACTGGGTCCCTTGGAAACTGCCTTGACCAGAGCCACTCTCTTTCGCGTCCAGGCTTTTCTCATGCTCGGTTTGTTTGAGTGGTGCCAAGGCGACAAAGGCGCTGCAGCCTCGACCTACGTCGCCGTAGCCACACAACTGGCATTGAAGCTGAAATTGGATGTCGAGATCATATCGATGACTGGAATGTGGTTGTCAGGACCCGGCATGACGAACGATCAGGAGATGAGACAACGGACGATGCTGAGTTGTTTGATCATGGGTTGCTTCTTCTCATATGGATCTGAGCGGCCCTCAGCTGCATGTCTTCCACGCCTGCGGGTCATGTCTTCCTGGTCGGAGCGAGTTCCTGGGCTTGGCCAGCCTATCCAGGCCGATTTCGCAACAGGAGTCAGTCGGGTTTCAGAGATTCCTCACCCCAGTCTTCTATGCTACTATGCACAGCTCGTCGACATCTGGGAAACACTCACCAGCTACGTCTCTGCCGGTGGGCGGAACGTGGAGACATATCCTCCTTGGTGTAAAGAGTCAAGGTTTTCGCAGATCAAGGGCAGGCTCAAGAACCTCTCAGGCTCCCTCCCGGTGGAGTTTAGCCTGTCCAAAGCAACAGAGCGAACAGATTGCGGTGGAGCACTTGTGTCCTTTCACGTCCTCGACTCCCTTTGCCGAATCATTTTGTATCGGGAGCTCGTTCCGTTCATCGCTATCCGATGCCCGAAGCCGGTCGGGCCATTGGCTGAACGCACCTGGGCGTTCACAGGCATAAGCATGCCGGATTCATTTTGGGAGGAAGGCGCTAGGGAGCTTTTCACTTCGGGACGGGGGATTGCTCGCTTGATTGAGGACTCTCAGGAGAGAGCTCCACTTTCACCTTTGGTCACGTTCGCCGTTTATCAGGCAGGATTCGTCGGTATATATGCGAAGCATTTTCCGCACATGGATGCGGAACACAATCCGGCCGGTGCAAAATTCAGGGAAGTAGACATCGCGTACAAGTGGCTGGATCGTGCTGCTTCCCACGCTGCCAATGCGAAGGCATACACAACTCAGCTGGTCGACGCCGACCGTTATTTCACTCAAGTTTGCTTAGACTTTGACGCTGAACAGCGGCTGATCTACGACCGCTCTCACGGCGGTCTAGAACTCGACTGCGTGAACGGCGGGCGACCGAGTGGCTTTCAGGGAAGCACACAAGTAGCCGAAGTGGGGCTCGGTCCATTCGCTCGTATCCCATCGGTGGGTGGCAGACCGTTTTGTTCTGTCCGTCCTCACGGTGTCGAGCACACAGAGCCCAGAGCTTCAAGATACTTTGCACACCAAGCAAGGCGTAATGTCAGGGATTATGTTCTCCGTATGGAGGGTGAGCGGTTCGCGGTGGCTCTTCAGGATGTGAGGAGCTTCTCAGGGTTGACGGAGAATCAGGAAGAATGACGGGGTTCGCAGTGATGTAGATAGGAAGAATCACAAACGCTCCATTGTCCCACTGACCATGTCCTCTCGGAGAGTATGAGCCACGTTTCTAGGTGATCGTATCAAGACTGGGACTGGTCGTTTGCCGCCATGCTTGCACCTCCTTCCCCACGCCGCGGAACTATCCTCCTCGAGGGGATCACTCAAAATAAGGAGACCACTTGGCGCTGGACTCAATCTCAACCATTACTTGAGGTCTTTGCAGACGAAAGTGGTAATGCTGTACTCTCGGTTTGGCAAAGCACTCGAGGATGATGCGAATGAGACCGTACTCCAGGTTGTCCTTGTCCACAGCTAGTGCCTCTTGCCTTGGATACTACTCCACCTCAATGTCGGATCCACGGACTTATCTCAAGCACTTAATCATGCTGACAAACCGCGCGAGCCTTGGCATAGAGAACATCTCTAACAGAAAAGAGTAGAGGCGCTCAAGCTGGGAGGCAGCGGGCTCCGACAGTGCCCCTTGCAGAGACATCGCTTCTAGCTGGCTGCTGACGAGCGCCTCATGAGACTGCAGACGGCCGACGAGAGACTTGATGGACTGTCCGGCTTGACTCAGGCCGGCATTGATGTGTTTGTGTGCCGATGGACGACCCGTATACTGAGCAGACTCCGCTGATACCGCTTCGAACTCACTCATCTGGACGGACAAGCGAGCACACATCTCGAGGCCTAGCTTAGCACTCTCATTCTCTTCAGTCATCGCATGCCACTCTAAAGCCACTTCGTCGACGGCCGCGACATCTCCAGCCTTAAGGCGGTCGATCTTTTCCTGCATATCCTGAAGGTGAGTGTTCAGATCGCTGGTGGTGTCGGCAATCATGGCCTTGTAGCTATCCAGAACCTTGGGCGAGATGGGGGCAATGCGTCTACGGAACAGCAGGGTCAGCGTAACGTCCACAGAAGTCAACGCAGCTTCACTCACAAATTAGCATTCGCAAGACCGATATTGATCATGGACTTATGTGCGGCAAGCATGGCCCTAAAGTCATTAATGTCTCCTTGGAGATACTTTTGTGTGATCCAGTCGCTCACGCTCGGTCGCGACGTGTCGTTGGAGTGCTTCATGCATTGGGCGGTGATTTTGCAATATTCCTCGCAAGCTTGACCACACCGCCGGAGGGGCTGCTGGAGGAATTCGAACTCGAGGGTTGGCTTACTCGCAATCGTCTCTAGGAGCGAGTCCAAGACCACGACTAAGTCGCCGATTTCCGCTTTGCGCGCGCGGGCGTCTTTGTTCTGACTTCGCAAGCTGCGGGTGAGGTTGAGGAGATACATTCCATATCTATTAGCTCAGAAAGCCATTTCCTTCATCGAGTGACGACAACCCACCATTACCACATTACAAGATGTCCTTTTTTCCGTGTATCGATTTCCTTGAGGCTGCATCAGCGAGCGACGAAATAGCAGTGGCATATTGTTTATTCGAGATGGCAGTTGTGAGAGAGGATGGAGTTGCGTTTCTATTTCTACACTCATTCTAGTTCTCGTAACACCCTACTGTTAAAGCAACCGAACCCAAGACTTGTAAAGAGAGAAAAAAGAAAGAAAACTGTCCGCCCCGGGCAAACGCTCCTCTGCTTGCTAATCTACAGAGCATCAAATCAACGTAACTTCTCGTGTAACCTATGAGGCCTGATGTTGGCTCAGTGAACATCCTCTTTATGGGGGTCAAACGTAGGGGAAACTTCGATTGTGACCCGCAAAGATCTCGAAATGTGCGAGGCTTAACTCCATAGTCTCTTTCACAGAATTTTCGAAAAGGCGTTTCACAGCCTCGAACTTTTCCTCTTGATCAGAACAGACCCCGAAGCGTACATCGAAATCGTATATCGCTAGACAATCCAATATGAAACTCAAGTTTACCAGGTTCTCATTGTCGATCGGGGGCTAAGACATAGGATTTTCGAGGGCTATATTGCAAGGGCTTCTTTACAGAGCCCACGACACGCTATATCCCTTCCCGAGGCGAAATATCACTTTGGCAGCCACGTTGACCTCTGCTATATACAGTATAGTTACATTGTCTGCTCCATCCGCGGTGTTTTGAAGCAAATCGACCAACTGCCGACAGATAGAAAGCCGACTAATCCGTACACTGTTTCTACTGATAACGTAGAGCCGGCCATCGTACCCCGCGAGGTTTTTTACAAGTGATTTCTCTTTCTTCATTTCGGCTACCTAGACGATCGATAATGTCTTTTGCGCGCATGCGTGTTCGTACACTAAAGGATCTGGACGACGATGTGATGGATTCTGTAATATTTACTGAAGCTTTGATACTACTCATCACGTGGAAATTACTGAACTCGATCGTCACGATTTCGAGTCGTTATCATCCCGTTCCTAGACACCAACTGGCTCAGTCATTCGCTTTCCTTGCTAAAAGCGTAACTCCAGGTCCAAAACGGTCGTTGAACTTTGTGGCATGCATGGACACCCCCGATTCTGTCTGTTGAGCCTGTCGACGACTTTGTGTGCCTGCCGAAGACCGAAGATGCTCCAGATCCAGTTGCGTCAGAGCCTCCATAGACTTTTGCACAGTTTCATCTGTGACTTGCCCCCCCAAATGCCGAGATCGACCGCTTAGATTAAGTCGTCGGGCTACTACGAGATCCTTCACTGTCGAAACCGAGATGGCGTAACTGTTCTCTGCCAAGGTCAGATCCTCAAAGACATTGCTTCGCTCGTTGGCTTGGTCGCCAGCCTCAGAGACAATCTGAATACACTGGCTAAGGCTCTCCTTCATCTTTTGGAGTCTGTCCAGCTGGGAGATCACGGGCTCAGGGAGGTCCTCTTGTAGAGACATTGCCTCTAGTTGGCTGCTGACAATGGCTTCGTGCTCTTGGAGACGGCTTACGAGAGACTGGATAGACCGTCCGGCTTCACCAAGACCATTTTTGATGTGCTTATGTGCCGATGGACGTCCGGAAAACTGTGTAGATTCCACAGACGTGGCCTCGCATTGTGCAAGCTGAGCGGACAATTGGGTGCACATTTTGAGGCCCTGCTTAGTGCTTTCCTTCTCTTCTAACATCGCATGCCACTCTAACGCGATATCGTCGACGGCTGTAGCATCTCCGGATTTGAGGCGATCGATCTTCTCCTGCATGTCCTGGAGATGCGTAGTCAGGTCGCCGGTGGTGTCAAAGATCATATCCTTGTAATCCTTGAGAACCTCAGGCGATATGGCTGCGATGCGACTGGGGAAATTGAATATCAGAACAGCGTCCAAGAATGGCGAGTTGGGTACACTCACATGTTGGCATTCGCGAGAGCGATGTTGATGGTCGACTTGTGCGCCGCTAGCATGGCCTTGAAATCGTTGATATCTCCTTGGAGGTACTTTTGCGTGACCCAGTCCCGAACGCTTGGGCGCGTTGTATCGTTGGAATGTTTCGTGCATCGGGCAATGATTTTGCTATAATCTTCACAGGCATCACAACATCGCTGGAGCGGCTGCCGGAGAGCTTCAAAGTCGAGACTTGGGTTGGTTGCGATTGTCTCGAAGAGTGAGCTCAAAACCCCGCTCAAATCACCAACTTCTGCTTTGAGCCCTCGAGCGTCTTTGTTCTGGCTTCTGTAGTCGCGGATGGCTCCGTGGAGCGCCACACTGGCTTTGAGCGCGGAAGCTACTGCTGTTGTAATAGTGATTGGATCCGCCATGATGCGGTATCCTTGGCTGTGCAGACGGGTACTCTGCTAGTCGAATAGGACGATGATCAAGGTACTAGTTGTTGCGCTGAACACTCTCCGGCTGGTACTTGAGATGCATTTAAAGTTCTCCCTCTCCGCCTGCAACGTTCGCCAGGAGGTCCGCACTTGAGATATGAAGAGGGGCGGCGGCTAAAGAAACACGCTCTTCTCGATGTGGATGGCTCTGGCGGCTTAAAGCTGTACTGCAACATTCCGATGCAACCCTCTACCAAGCTCACTGTTGGTGGGCAACTGGCGGCTGTGAATGCCTCCCCTAAAAATCTCGTCTGTATCAGGCGAATCGCTCGAGGCTGTTGACGCCGTGGTCCGGATTAAGGCTGACCAACCACAAGTGCAAATCACGTGCGGGTGATTGCATGTCCATTTAAACGCTGCCGAAATTAGCAGCCCCCTCACACACGCGCTGACGCATCGAGGTACAATGCGGCCTATTGGCATCCTCGGGATTCGCCGTACGTCAGTGCTGCTCATGATGCCGAACTTGGGCATTGCTGACAGCAGCAGTTGGTTCATCGCAAGCGAAAATGGATTGGTGTCGTTCTAGTACCTGATCGCAGCATCGCTGACCATTAGACCCTGGCCCTACTCGTGCCATGTCTGAACGGTGAATTTTCATTTTCTCGTTGTTGTAGATAAGGCACATTGATTCCTCCCGAACTTTTCTATGCACTGTAGTAAATCTACCATCCTCCTACACATCTATGTGCCTGCCCATTGGAATTGGGACGGCGGAGTGAGTCAATCCTTGAGAGTATTGGCCAAGGCGAAGGCAGGGCGGATAGTGGAGCCGAACACCTCGCCAATTGTGACCACCACTAGTCGGAAGCCATGGAAAGTAGGGATGACGAAGACCTCGATGATGGAGCTGGCTTATTGGTCACGGTGAGGTTGATGAACCTAGGCAATTCATTTCGCCTTGCCACTCTAAAACATTTGCAAGTGTAAAATCCACATTATTGCGATAAGAGGCGCGCGCTAATAATTACCCAATACCAAGCCGATTGCTTACACTTGAAGCTGGCCGAGCCTGCCTGACGAGCTAGCGCAAACCCACGCCTTGGGCCTGAACTTGGGATTTCGTCGCTGCCTCATGGTTAAAGCAAGGCGTAGCCGTGCACAGCCTCCAGGGAACAACCGCTTGCGTGTGGCAGTCCAGGTCTAGCAGACAGCGAAAGGCGCTTCTAGGTGATTTCTGATTGGTCCCCGCATCCCTCAAGGCCGTCTCTAAGAGTACTAAGAGACGCCGACTCCGCCGCTCTGTGCAGCCGCCATCTGACGGACTGGGACTCCTGCCCATCCTACGCCACAAGCTACCCGACACAATGGCAGAAGCAGTCGGCCTGGCATCGGGGGTGCTAAGCTTCGCGTTGCTCGCCTTCAAGTCTAGCATCGCCCTTTACAACACAATTCAGGGCATACGGACCCAACCCAAGCGTGTGCGCGATCTCGCCAACGAGCTTAGTGCCGTGAGCGAAGTGCTGCACTCGCTCACGGAGATAATCGGCAACGCGCCCGGGGACGATCTATCCGCACTTGAACTGCCTTTGCGGCGATGCGACGAGGCGTGCAAAGAGTTTGAGCAAGAGCTCTTGCGATGCTCCTCGCGGTCTGGCGGCGATCGCGCTAGCTTCCGAGATTGGGCCAAGCTGCAGTATATGGGCGATGGCATCGACGAGTTTACACAGCTTCTCGCAGGCTACAAATCCACTATCAATATAGCCCTCGCTGATGCGCAACTGTGAGTTCCATACTCCATACCAAATTGAATTACCTGACTCTGTATCTCGAACAGGCGCCGATCCGCAACGACCGCCGAGAATCTCGAAAAGTATCAAACAATGATTAAAACGACGACCGATGATCTCGAGGATCGTCTCGAGAATATCGACGCTAAGCTAGCCGCCATAATCGAGCACACTGTGGGCGGAAACGATGCCGACGCACAAGAGCTACACCGGATCCGTGCGGAAAGAGAAAGCACGCAGAAATGTCTTGAAATCTGCGCACAGTTGGCGAACCACATCAGTAGAGTCCAACAACGACCTTATGCAGGCGATGGTGCTCCTACCCACGAGAACTTCTATCCGGAACAAGTTACCGATGAGGGGCTCCAAGATTGCAAGAATCGTTTGGTTCAGACCGTCGCAGATTTGGAAAAACATATGCAACACTTGATGGACCGGCTCATCGCCAAGTCGTCGACGAAGATGAGCTCGGAGCATGACGTGGCGCAGCTCGCTAGACTGCGTGAGGAGTGGACGACTGCTCGTCAGTGTCTCGACATCTGTTCCAAAGCTGAAAGCCACGCGAAGGAGAACATTAGCATCATTGATAATTACGCGACCGGAGACGATACCGTGCAGTTCTTAGTGTCGACAACTGGGAAAACGATCCATGGCAAGAACAGAGGGTACGGATCGATGACTCGGCAGGTGGGCGGTCACCTCAGCGATGCCTCGCTCCAGCAGATGTCACGCGACATTACCCGAATCAGCTTGCAGGCGACCGGGACCGAGAGCGTACCTTCGCACGATGGTGTGTCGCCTACTACAGACAATCGGCCGGAGCATGAGTCTAGCGCTCACTTTGGGCACCGTCACGGGCGCGGAGTCAAATTGTCAGAAACCACTGTGGATACGAAGTTCTCGACTCTGTTAACTGTGGACGGAAAATCGGCCATCGCACGATAGCGCGCGTATTGTCAGAGTCAAATTCCAAGAATCCAAGGAAACATGTATGATATGAGAAAGATGTAATTAGAATTTAATCATGGATTACTTTATGGTCGTGGTTCACATGCACCACTTGTCAGTCACTCATTTAGCGTCAGGTCCTTTCCTGCGTGAGGAAACATCTCTAAGCCAATTTCGCCATTCTAGCTCAGAGGTCCCGTGTTTGTCGGCAATTCTGACTTGCCTGGGCGGGCGCACAGTTACACGACATTTCTAGCTCATCAGTTAGCGAGCTTACTCCGATGCTGGACAGTGCTCTCCACCCAAATATCGTCTCGTTGGATTTCCTTTTCTAAACGATTCTGTGGCAGCCCACGTCGCTACCATTACTTCCACGCCCACTCCCAAGCGATGACGCATTGTCCTTTAAACCAGCTCAGGCCATCAATGGTGTTGTCACTCTCCTATGCTAGACAACGCGGACACTTCTTGGGTGACGATAAGCATCAGGCCTGTTGCAGCTCGTTCCAGCAATCTACAGAGCTCCAAAACGTCCTTCCAATCATCGTTACGCCCTTTGCTCAGAATGAGCGGCTGTAGGGACTGTTGAATATCCATCATTTCTAGATAAAGTCCGCAAGCCGCCGGCGGCATCATTGTTTGGTTGGCCAACTGAGCTTCGTTAAGGTCTAAGGATGCGGCTTCGGGCGAAGAACTAGCTGCGTCATGGGCAATTTTGTCGTCCTCAACAAGCAAGGTCTTGTTCAAGTTCAAGTGAGCGTCGGGGTTCTCAGGCGTCTCTCTTGAGCCGTTTTTATTGGAGCGCGAACTGGACGATTCCAGAGCTGTTGGACTCGCGTTTAGGTTTAGCCCTCGTCTCCCTATGAAACGGTGTACTCACGACGCGCTAGTCCTCGATTCCCAACCATAGTGCCTCGGGCTGAAAGGTGATTATGTCGGAAATTGAGGGGAGGATTGGTGGGGAATCTGATCGGGAGTGGATATAGTGTAGCAACTTTGATGACTAAGATGCGACCAAGTACACCCAGTGTTATCGCAACGGCGAAAGAGAAAAGTCTAAAGCAACAACGAATGTTTTGGAAATCGGAGCCCCGTACGGTCGATTGAATAGCCTTTTGCTCATCGCGAAGCCTCTAACGACTTCGGCACCATGGCAACTCCATGGCTACACGAGCGACTGAGGCCAGCGCACCATCGGGTCAGATATTTCGACACCGTGAACGCACACCCACTGAACCCCAAGCCGTGTGAGCCACGCTCATCGCAGTTCCCCTCCCTGCTTGTCAAAATGCAGCAAACCACTTTAAAACGTACATCCCCACCAAACCATCGAAAGCGAACGAACAGAACCCAAAACAGCCAGCGAGAATACCACCCGCGACACTAGAGCCATCAAGGTTGATATTGTCCAGCGGAACACGATCGAACTAAAGGAGAATACCAATGCCAGGCATGCAGCCAGCGCCGCCTTTAAGGAAGATTAGAAAGCCAGCGAGCTGGCGCTGGAGGTTGCCGAAGGTGCCAAAACCCGCCGTGGCTCTGATTCACCAGCAACGCGCTGCTCAGCCACACAAGGCTGTGGGCGAAGGACACCCGAACCCCTCATTCCCTCAATGTCTACAGCTCCAATGATCATGACGGAAATATCAAGTTGTACGCCCAACACACCACCATTATGGCGACCGAAGGAGGCCGGCTTGAGGCCTCACATGGCGTTCGGTGTCGACAAGAGCTTTACTTCAATTTCACCTCGAGCTACAGCATAGGGAAGCGCTCTGGACCGTCCCATAGCCCGTCCTCCAAGCCAAGACCAATGCAGTCGGTGAAAAGACGAAGACGACACAACCCCGCTCGACGAGATACCGAGGAACCTACGTCTACGATTGAATCATTACAGGGAGGCGGGTGCGGCTCTTATTAGGTCGAGTCGTATGCGCAGGACAGGAAGATGCCCTTCATAGACACCGAAGCTCAGTAATCTCGGACGGTCCCCGAAAACTGGATACAAGCGACGGCTAAAGATGGAGCGGCCCGGTTTTATTGGCAAAGCCCGGGCTCAGGGTGGGCTATTAGTAAGCAAAGCTGTCAAAGGAAGCCAAGGGCAAGGACAAGATATGAACAGCCGAGAGGACGGACAGAACGACCGTCCTAGTAGAGGCAGCTCCAGACCAGCTGGGTAAAGTTGTCTTATGAACATGGAACGCCGAACAACCGTGCCCTTCCTATCACAGCCTGGTCTGGTATATCGGATAGGGGACTCACGATGCGAGCGCCCTATCGACCTACACCATATTCCCACACAAGGCCTGTGACTAACGTTGCAATAATCCCAGAAACGACAGCGGCCCATGGCATCAATGTTCCCAACATGGCCATGCTTGTCAGTGTTGCGAATAACCCCCCTGCTGGGGTGAAAGCTCCATACACACAAGACTGGAAAGCGGCCGCCAATGTTCCTGGTGCGCCACACAGTCAGCAATCTCGTTAGATGGTAAGGTACGTTGACAGCGTGAATAGACCCAGCAACTCACCAGCGCCAACTCCGGCTGGGCCAAACCCTAGGCCGAGTATAATCATACTCGCGATGGTGAATACAATCGCCCATGTCATTACTAAAGCTATGATCTCTGGAGAATTCTGTTAGCTGAGCCAGCAAACCTTGTTTTCCTAAAAGAGTTCAGCAGCAGCCACTTACGTGGCTGGGACAGCCAAGCCCCGAGAGCGCCCCAATACTGCTTGAACAATGAGCCTCGGCTTCCTTCGTATTCTAGTCCCCTCATTATCGGACTGATGGAGAGGCCATCAGCCATCAACCAAACAATGTTTGCGACATTTTCGGCCGTCGCGTCGTGGTTGATGCGAGCCGCTCTATCAAGAGGAATGTACATTATGTGCAAGATTCGGGGAGGGAAGAAGAACGATACCGAGAAGTTTAAACTGTTTTTGTACTCCTCAGGGTTGACGTGAAGGTCGCAGGGAAGTCATTCTCGAAAGTAGCGACCTCCGGCACGACAGGTATCTTTATTCTCCGCGGGATAAGTCGAAGTATAAGTAGCTTTCGAGGATTGTCGCAAACGCGGGGCTCGACGCATGTGCGGTAGCAGAGAACTATGCACTAACAGTAAGGGAGCCAGCTAAATTTGAATTGAGGCTGGAGAGCAAAGCGGGGAACCTGGAGACAGCTAGCCAGCGTTTTGCATTGGTGAAGTGAGGTACTATGTAGTCACAGCCGGAGGGCGTCGGCTGTCTGGTCGAGTAGCGACCAGGTGTCTGCGGGACGGGCTGTAGTCCTGTTATGCATTTTGGGTCATTACACATTGCAGGCCTTGTGCCTTTCAGTTGAAAAATGATTCTTTTCATCAGTGTGAAGTGACTGACTAAAATCAGCTCTATTTGAAACGATAACATGTGAGAACAAACGAATCTTCACCATGGGATGCTTCGACAAACAAGTTTGATACTTTTTACGTGTTCACCGCGCGTCGAGGTACTATCGGTTTGCCAGCAAGTACGTATTTGGGGAATCATCACAAAGGGAAGTACGCTACAGTAAGGACGTGAGTTCAGAGTAACCTCCGTACGGCCGGCGCCATGCTCCTTGTGAATCAAAGAGGGCCGTACAGGATGCGTGTCCAGCCAGGCCAATAGATGAGAGGAAGCATTGGTCCACTGTTGTGGTGGATTTGGGCACTGGAAAAAGGCCTGCAGCTGCAGCGGAGTCCCTGACTAATGTCGAAGGTAATCATGCAATCCGTCTCCTTACCATTTGACAGAACAGCACCCATCACCGACCACCGACGATGGCTGAAGCCCTGGGCATTGCCTCGGCATTGATTGCCATAGTCACGGCGACGATACAGACAAGCCAAACTCTGTATGGTACAATTCAGAGCTTTCGTAGTCATCAGCGAACGGTTCAGCAACTTTTGGACGAACTTTCAGCCCTGAAAGAGGTTCTCCAGTCCCTGGAGACTCACATCCAGATCGAAGATGACGCGACGTTAGCGTCGCTCAAGACGCCTCTCCTTCAATGTCGTCGAGCTTGTGCTGATTTCGATACGCTGATGATTGAGTGCAGTAAGTATTCTGGGCGGCCGAGAAGTAGCTTCCGAGGTTGGGTAAAGTGAGATACATGGAGAGCGATATACACGGCTTCACCAGTATGCTAGCGGGCTATAAATCAACGATAGCTATCGCTCTAGGTGATGCAAATCTGTCGGTCCATCGTCGAAACCTCTCGTACACTGTGCGTGCTAATGATACGAGGCAGCCGCTCCGCTACGGTCACCATGCAGCTGCTTGGGGAGTACAAGGACATGATTCACAGCACGACTCAAGATCTAGAGGATCACCTCGAAGATATCAACGAGAAATTGAGTCGTCTTACTTCAAACGACATACATTCATCCCAGGCAGTCACCACCAACATAGATCGGATCCAGAACGAGAGGGACAGCACAGAGGTTTGCCTTCAGATCTGTGCTAATGTCCAGGCTCATATCGACACCATGCGCCTTCAACCTATTCCAGGCAGTCCACCATTCCAAGGGACGTCCTGCCAGAACTTGGGGCATGCAACTGTCATAACTCTATCGACTTTGGACCACTGCAAGCAGGTGATATCTGACAACGTGTCGGAGTTGCACAGGCACCAAGATGAGAATAAGAGACGATTGGCACGAGGAACCAGCGAGATTTCACTGCCTACAGAAACCGACATTCAGAGCTTGAGGAAGGAGCTCGACAGTACTAAGAAATGTTTGGCCATATGCAACGCCGCATCACAAAGAGCAGTCAAGGGGGTCCATGTACTGGAGGACATGAGCACAGGTCATGATGGACAGCAGCTGTTTGTCTCTACTCTGGGGGATCTTTTCAACGTCAAAGGAGCGAGCACAGGTGACAGAGGTATACAATTTGTGGGGTCGGTGTCTGAAGAGGCACTAGGGATGTTCTTCCAGAGCCAAACGAAAAAATAGTCATCAAGGTTCGTTAAACACGCCACATCCCTTCTATGCTGTCGTCGTAGATGAACCAGAACCTTGTGGAAAGGAGGCCGTCGTCCGTCCTGTTTCTCGAAAAGACGTCGCAGAAGGGGTGTTATGTGGCCGGTCCGTATGTGTTCGATGAGAGACCACCATTTTTCCAAGTTCCTGGACGGACCCCTCGCTCCACGCCTCAACGCATTGGAACGAGCTGTTGCCGCCCTCAACATCCTCGGCATCATACAAATGATTTTTTGTAGACACTAGGAGCTGTACACCATTTGCCCCAACCTTCAAGTGCTCGAGTTTATGCGTTGGAAGAGGGTCGTTGTCGTGCGTGGTTTCACGAGAGTGTTCGTCGTTGTTTGTCACGTCGACGGCAGGGTCATTGCTAGTGGAAGGAGTGACGGTTCCGTTCATTTGAGTGTCGAAATGTTGCTCGGAGAGAAAAAAATGGCGGCTTGCCTTGCTCGATTGCTATGGGTCGTCTATTTCTTGTATATGTCCTGGGACAAGAACAATTGAAAGGTGGCTATTGCCTGGCGGATGATAGGCATGGACGAAATTACCCCGCACGGAGTCAGCTGTTTGCCTATCCGACCCGCTCGATTTCCTGCTCGGTCTACTGCTGGATGAATGGCAGCGGTGTCCACTTCTGGTCGTCGTGGTCGGCATGGTGCCTAGCACGGGACATTGGTAGTGTGATGGTTTCATCGAGACTGCGTATTCCGTCTGAGCGGTATCTTTCGACGCTAAGTTTGAAGCCAATCCGGATGTGAGGCAATCGGCAGGCCAGATCTAGTGTGACAGCTCCTGGAAATGCGGTTCCATAGACACTTTGGAAAGTGCGATGTAGGCCGTGCGACAACAGTCGAATGTGACGGTGATTTATCGACTGCTGAGGCTTTAACCTTAATAATGAAACAGCACTCATTCAACTGCGTTTTGCTGCGGATTCAAACCCACGCCCCCACCCCCCCCCCGCCCTCGTCCCAGCCCCAACCCCCGACCAGCCCCCGCCGGGGCCAGTCCACCCACACACATGCCGCCTCTCCAGAGAGGTTTACCCTCATAACCAAACACCACCCTGTCATACCTCGTTTTCTGGGGACCCCCACCCCCCCCCCCCCCCCCCCCGGTCCATTTTAAACTTCAGCTCATTCGCAGCTTGCCTTTACACCGTACTCTCACGAATATCCCAGGCAGCCTAACTCTCTAATCCAAGCCGACCCTTATAAATACCTGAGCGACAAAACCTGGGATACCCTCGCCTATTAAACTTACCGCATGCAGTCATAATTCAGTTAATCACATAGTCGGGCCAGGATTGCCCGATAAAGGATAGATGCCACTCTTCTATGGAGATCTACTGCAGGCCCAGCAGAACACTCTAAGCAACACAAATTATACTTATCCCCATTCAATATGCCACTGCTTACCATACTGAAGAGCTGTCACCGAGGTACTAATGCACGTTTCCATGGAACCTTCCACCAACCGTCGACCGCCTGACCGCTCCAATTGAATCATTCTTGCTCACGAGAAATTGTACAGGCATGGCGTACCTTTGTGGAGCTATTGGTGTCGAAATCCTCCCAAAAAAAAATTATCGCAGAGTGCAGAACGGCATGGTATTAATAGGATATTGAGCTTAGCAAGACTTGCTGACAACTGAAATGGCAGATACATAAAATAGGTGCCAACATTATCGACCTCATAGAACTTGCACGTAGGGGTGAGAGTCAAAGCTCGATCAAGACTTTCTTTTCCGTCCAATAAATCGGGTACGATAATTTGAGTGTCAGACGTAGAGGGAAACAAGGAGGCGCATAGTATCAATTTCAGTCTACGCAAGAGCAAAGCGAGTCGAGGGCTTTGTTCTCGCTGCCATCGTTGTGAACGTAAGTGAGCATTGATCGTACCGATATTTCCAGAATACTCAACACATCTGAAAACCTCCAATCATACCCTCAGTCCCAGATATGTTTTCAAACGAGTTTTCTTGCTCAGTAACGACCCGTTCACAGGAAGACCTAGGCTTACCAAAATAACGCTCAGCTGATCCTCTGTAGCTGTCTTAGTTAAGTTCCTGTCGCTCAAAGCCTTTCTTACCTGGAAGCTTGTGAAACGAGGCATAGGATGTCGGAAATCCAGGGATGTGTTGATTGTTAATACCGTGGAAGCTTCGTATCGAGGTTGTGCAGCAACTTGCGAAACGATTAGATAGTCGTGCTGCAACATTGAAGTGACTATGTAGGGTTAGTCGAATCACAATGTCAAGACTTGGGCTCATTCGTCATTACCCTGCCCGAACTTCCAGGAGAAGCTCTCGAACGGTCCGATTCACATCGCTGGTCCCAACCTGATTTCGCAAAGCATGGTCATTGCTGCGAGCGATTGCCTGCTCAATCGTACTTATGGTATTCTGAGCATTGTTCAATGTATGATTGACGCCTGTCATATTCTGGCGGGTTTCATCGACAGTGTTTCCCATTGTAACTAATGCATCCTTGGCATCAGTAACTGTGCCGCTAACGGTCACCAGCGTATGCTGCATCTGATCAACAATGCTCTCCGTCGTTGTAACAGCTTCCTGTGTACTGATGGCAACACAGGTGACTGCCTCCAATCCATCCAATATATTGTTGGCTAGACTGTGGTTCGCCGTCACTGCAGCTCGTGTCTGATCGAGCGTGTTGTTCACCGCTGATACTGCAGCTAAAGTTTGATTAATCGTATTATCCGCTGCTGAAACAGTATCTTGGGTACGGACGACTGTTTGTCGGACTGCCGCTAGATCACTCATAATGTTGTCAGCTGTGTTGACGACTGCTGTCGTGGCATCGTGTGTCTGGTTGACTTTCCTATCAACCGCTTCGGCAACATTCTGAGTGTTGGTGATAGTGCGAGTAACTTCTGCCAATCCGAGCTGTAGGTTAATCACGGTGTCGCCGTTTGCTATCACAACAGCTTGGGTTCTATTGACCGTATTGGCAACTGCCTCCACGGCACTTTGAATGTTGTTGGCCGTATTTTTGATTACTTGCAGGTCGTTCTGAGTGGTGGTAAGTGGGCAACCCATCTCTGTCAGTGCCCTATGTGTCTGGCAAGTGGTGTTATTTAGGACTACAATGTCACTTTCACCTGGCTTACTGTGTCATTGACTGCAGCCGAGGAGTCACGAGTGTCATTGATCGTAAGACGGATTGCTGCCAGAATGTTATGATCATCGGCAACAGTCGCGCTAACGACACTAAGGGCGTTCTCAATGGATACGACGGCTTCACCAATCTTCTTCAATCTGTTGTAATATTGCTGCGTAAATATGTGCTCTCAGGTAACGACTGTGACGAGGCTACCTACCTGTCGTCGAATTGACTGGTGAGGCATGCCTGCGCGTGCATCATATTGAAGAGCTTCTCAGCTTTTTCGGCTATCTTGGTCAGCCTTTCATCAATGTCATAGAGGCGCTGCGTATTGCATGAACCGGGCACTGGCGGGCCGTAATTCACCCCGCAGGCTGGGCGAATACATTGCTGGGGCTGATGTCCCTAGCGAGTCTTGTTAGTATATTTCACGTCTCTGTCTCTCATGATCACCACAGAGCCTCTCACATGATGAGTTCCACAAGTCGCCATCGTAACTCGTCTAACGTGGTCCGAGGAAAGGATGCTCCGTGTGATGGTAGATGTGTCGTTTGCCCAAGCGCAAATGCGGACAGTATGTCTCGATCAAGCTCTTATACGGAATGGAACTCACTGTTGCCTCTATCCAGGCAGGCTGCGCTCTGCGAATACTCACATGTAGAGAGTGTACCATTCTATGTATCGAGCAGCAGTTAGACAGGCAGGGGTCATTGTGTGTATATTGATGAGTATATCGAACGAATGGCTATGGGAAGAAACCCCATATCTATATAATGAGTGTATGACCCCCTTGTATAAGGTTACCCTTGCTAGCCTTATTCATACTTCTGGTTAAGCATGAGTCAGGTCGCTCGAGGCGAAACAAGTACCGTAACGAATGTCCTGGGGCAGTCTGACACTATGTTTCTTTGGGAACGCAAGGATCGCGTCGCGAGAAACGTTCAATAAGCTGAGCCTGGAGTGTGCGCAAGGGCGATTCGGCAGCGCACATACCCATTCAAATCAATCAAACAAATAAGTCAAACAAACAGTCAAATATAGGAATTTCAGCAAGTCAAACAATCAAATATTCCAGCCCGCATATTTGATATATTTGATCAGATCTAGAATCGAAGGGTGGGCCCGAATATACCAATAATATACCGAGAAAATACGGAAAAAAGGAGCCGCCCGGACCCGGATTCGAATACCGGACCTCGGGAATTAAAGTGGACCCGCTCTAAACAATTTCCGCGCGTCCGCCGCAGAATCCACTATACTATCTATACCTCTAAGTGCAGCTCTGTTCTACAATAGATAATCAGTCAAATCAATCAATTATTTGTCAAATCAGTCAAACAATCAAATATGGCGCGAGAAATCAGCCAAACAATCAAACACGAACCTCATATTTGATTTGTTTGTTTGGGTATAAGCGCTGCGATTCGGAGTCATGCGGCATTTCAGTCAGCCATGCTGATGGTTTTCAGTAGACCAATATAGATTTGTTGGAGTCCTCTCAATGAGAGGTTGGTGAACTGCACAATATCATCCACGGCTACCTGCATACCGACGAATTAATTGGCGTCACGTTAGTACAGTTGACCTGCAATGATGTTACATTTCCCGAACCGCAAGCGGCGGCTCTGTTGTCTGAGGCGAATCCTGCCGTAATCATGCTCCTGCACATAGCCGCCGCCAAAGCAGCTGATTATTGTGGCAACTCGGAGAGTCTTAATTTGCTGTTGAGGGTCCTTGGCCTATCGATTCAGTGATCATCAGAATATCCCGTCCCAGCCACGCTTCCAACCTTTCCAACCTTTCCAATCAACCCGTCAACCAATCCATCCTATCTAAACACTGTTTTACCACTTGATTTCCTTACGAATATCCGCAATATGCATAAGTACCTGGCTCCCATTGTTCCCTTTAAGAAGATTTCCGAAGCAATAGAGTTGGCAGGCATGATATCATATACAGGCTCTCGCAGAAGAATGACTGCACCAGTACAATCGGTCTGGCTTCCAAGGAGACTTGGAGACATGGGCCGAGGACGCGATCGTCGACTGACCCGCACCCAATGGTAGTTGGCGGGTATGGTGGGACTCCGTTAGCTGTACCCTGGATTAAGGAGACGAGAAAGCATTTCTCGAAGTGTCTGTCGCGCATGGTACGATTGTGACCTCACGCACCACATGTCACCAACGTACTCTCCGCTTTGCCCCTGATAGTGGGTGTTCTGGCCACTTCGATGGCGGCAGAACCGCGGCCCAAGCGTTCCACTGCCCAATTCTGGATGACCTTCCTTCTCAGCAAACTCGCCTGAGATGTGTGTGTCCAATCGGATGATCCGCACAAACGCCCTGCGTGTGATAGAAACTTGTAAGGTGGGCCAGGCTGCGCCGAGAACAGCACCCCACCGCGCCGGATTAACGGTTGAAGGGCCATTCCCACAGCTGCACGGTCTGGATTAAGTGTTGCGCATTGCTGTACTTGGGGATCGGCATGTTCGTGTCCCATGAAGGATCGTTGTGGACTTGAAACTGCTTCATTGTAGACACTGATGATGCAGACGTTCTGGCTGGAGCACAAGATTGACGATGTCATTTTGTTCTTTAGTCAAACTCGAACTCATTCTCAGAATGCTCGGAACCATTCTCATAGACAGTCGATGGAGACAGCATCGTCGCTTCGTATTTGTCACACTACACTTCACACAAGTAGCATTTGCCTAGCCTGCGAGCTTTATGACTACCACGCCTGAGCCTGATCGCATTTACGCGCCTACTCCTGCACGTTGGTCGCAATGCACCTCGCCTTGTTAATGCTAGCTTTCAACCGAAAGTCTATGCAAAGACGTGAAATGTGATGAAATATTTGCCAAGTCGCAATTCCATGTTGTGGTTGGTTCAGGCCAGTCAATCGTAGGTCGGCTATGCTAGTCACCGCTCAGCGCGACTCGCCATGGCGAACGACGTTGATGGGATAGCCCACGCGGGCGAAAGTCGACATCAGACGGATCTCCGGTGCGGGCTGCGCGTTAACAGGGGTATACGCACAGACTGCTATACTCGCCAGTACCACCCTCAGCGGAGACGATATTTCGTTAGTCGCAGACCTTCGACTAGGGTTCTGGCGGATAAGAAGGACGACGGGAACGAGTACCTTATAAACATCACCAGGCATCAGTCCGCTTATTTTCGTCCCCATGGAAGAGTACTTCCATGCCTCCAATTGCTTCTCCGTTCCAGAATCACAAGTCCCCAGTCCGGCCAAAGGTATCGCGTCAATATGGACCCACTTACCGTCGGAACCGGCGTTCTAGCCGTCGAAGCTTCGCCTTCACGTCCTGCACTGCGCTCCACAGCCTCATCCGCAGCTTGCAAAGTCAACACAAAGACGCCCGCGCGCTCAAAGCGGAGGTCGGTGACTTGGCCGCGGTCTTGAGCTCGCTCATAGAGACGATTGCGAGCAATCCAAACCTCGACTTCGAATTTCTCCAGCAGCCGCTCCGTCGGTGTGGTCAAGCTTGCGAGGAATATGGCCAAATTATCGCCCAATGCACGGCGCATTCCAACGATACGTCGCGACCGAGCGTGCGTGACTGGATCACGCAAAAGTACCTTCAAGGTGACATCAACGCCTTCAGGGCCATGCTTGCCGCACACAAATCCACGATTAACATCGCTCTTGCAAATGCCAATCCGTGAGTCAAGCTGCGTTGATTCATAGGACATGACGCTGACCCTACCGTCTTGGAGACGCATCGCCGCCATCCCGCCTGAAGTACTCGACAGTTACAAGGACATGATTGCCGATACGATCAACGATTTGAACACGCATTTGCAGGATATGCAGGAGAAGATCGACCGCCTTAAGGCTGGGGATGTCGCAGCTATTGACGAAGTAGCGCTGGAGTGGCATGCCATGGCGGAAGAGAAGGAGAGCACCAAGCAAGGCCTCGACATGTGTGCACGCTTGTCTGCTCAGATAAATCAGTTCGAAGCGGCGTCGGCGGAGTCTGCTCAATATGCGGAGCGTCCGTCGGCACACAAACACATCAAGACCGGCCTGAGTCAAGCTGGACAGTCCATCAAGTCACTCGTAGGTCGTCTGCAGTCCCACGAAGCGCTCGTCAACAGTCAGCTGGAAGCCATGTCTCTGCAAGGGGCACTGTCCGAGCCCGTCACCTCCCAACTCGAGCGCCTTCAGCAAACGAAGGAAAGCCTGAGCCAGTGTATTCGTATCGTATCCCAAGCCGGCGAGCTGGCCGAAGAACGCAGCAACGTATTTGAGGATCTCACCTTAGCAGACAATAGCTACGCCTTTTCTGTTTCGACAGTAAATGATCTCGTGACGGCCCGGCGACTCAATCTCAGCGGCCGATCTCGGCACTTTGGTAGTCAAGTAACGAACGAAACCGTGCAAAAGTCCATGGAGGCTCTCACCCAACTGGACGCGGAGCATCTGCGGTACTCAGCCGGAATGGATGGCTCTCAAAAGGCGACAGCTTTTGCCACGACGACAAACGGCTCGCCAAACTCGAGGCACTTTCGCGATCGCTTCGGGCCGGGAGTCACCTTGGTAGCAAAGAATGAATAAGATAGTATCCAACGTTCAGTCCAGGCCATGATTGCGATCTGACGCATTTGCATTTTTGTGTTTGCGTGAATATACCATCCTCACCATATCTTCAGCCAAAGCCGCCGTCCACTACCCTCCAGCACCTAATCAGAGAAGGCCCCCAATGTTCTGTCCTAGAGTCATTGACATCATGTCCTAGTCATTGTACTGATTCAGAACCGCGAACCCCAGTATATGGCCGAGCTACCAGGCAGCTGGGGGAGTCGGCCCGCAAGACCCGCTGCATGGATTGGAAAGCAAGAGAGTTTTGACAGTGAACTTATCTGCACAAACGACAGTATCGGACAGCGAACAGGCTATCAAAAGTCGAGTTGAGAAACTGCATAACACATCGTTCCGCCTGCCGTAACCCTCATATCAACAGAACTCCACGCTAGAATCATCAAAGTTTATGGTCCACCACCTACGCCCCGTTCCGAGTGCCTCTAGATATATGAAATGCTGCAGGCATTGAACTAGAAGAAGGAACAAAGGTTGATCTATTGGATGCGTGAAGCATTAAGGAATGGGTTCCATCTCAACACAAAAAGCCCAATGTCATTGCGACCTTGTCATCTCCTTGTTCTTGCTCTTGGCTTCTTTTGGCAGCTTGGTTGACCAGGAGCCCACCTGGTCCCGGGCTTTGAACAGTAAGCACAGACGCTTTCATCCATAGCCGTCACTTGGAACCAGTTTTCGGGGACTGTTCAAACTTTTTGACCACCGCTTCTCTAAGCAGAATCTAGCCTTTTCGGTGGCCAGTCAGGCGGCATCACATGGACTTACGGAACGAGAGTGTAGTGGAGTTGCGTATCAGAGTGCCTATTCGATAGGAATCTTCATCAACTCCATCAGCTTCTTACTCTGAGCTGTAATGTCATGACCATAAGGCCCCTCCTCAGCAGTATATTCTTCGAGCCTGACGTGCTCTGCAACACATGTGGCGCGTGGCTTTAAGGAACATTCGCATATCTGGACTCGGAAGCTGTGCAGCAACCGCGAACTCTTGTCCGTGTCCTGATGAGGCGGGATCCTGAGCTTGGGTTTCTCTAGGTAGGTGCTTTCCTCACCGGAGGGCAAAGTAGGTCTTTACAAGAGGCCCGCCAGGGCTGTGTGGAAGGTCGATCTGCACGTAGCAGCATGAACAGAAACCCTTGTGTCATTCATGTAAGAACCCGTCCCGATTATGCGAACTGACGTGGATGAGATTCCCCGTGGCGATGAGTGTCGACTTCTGTACCTTTTTCATGATCAACCTTACTAACCTCGAAGTACGCCAACATATGTGATGCAACTCCCCGCACGCTCTTGCACACGAGGAACTCAGCTGGCAACGCCGTGGGGTCAAGTGGACGGCGGTTCAAAGAGACAACAACATCGACCATGACTCCGATCATCTACCCATAGCGACGTCCCTGAACCTAGCAGTGACCGAGCTACAATGAGAGGAGAAACGAAAGTGGAAAGCTGTTGATAAGGAAATATTCATCGAGACGCTCCGGAGATCGCTGCCGCAGCTACGAAGGCCAAGAACAAAGGCGGCGCTCGACAGATATGTAGAGACAACCACAGACGCTTCCAGACAGCGTTCGTGTTCTTTTTCGGCCTGCTCCGTGCCTCCGGCGATGTGGATACGCGGTCCCTGCCACCACGGAGGAGTGATGAAGGGTGGTATGTCTTGCTGACGCGGCTGACATTTCCCCGTGCTTCGGACACAGCCGTCGCACGGGTTCAGGGGCGCTGCGATGCCACAGTCCCCCTCACAACAAAGATGATATCGACACGTCCAATTGCGCATGTCCGGAAAAACTCACCATCTACAAGAAGCTGACCTGCGAAGATCGCCGGATTGAGCTTTGTCGTACATTTGGTGAGCGTAGATTCGATGCCATGATCTACGGCCAACCTGACGCACTCCCACCACCCCACGGAGTCTTTGTTGGCACCGGCCCAGCCTCTGTGGGCGCCGCTGGAGCTGTGAAGAAAACCTACAGACCAAGTTATATGAGAGTCGACCCGCGTATCCATTGGTCCCACAATCGCTCCGACAAGTGGTTCGAACAGAAAATGGAAGAAATCAAAGCTCGCGGCGGACGGAAAGCGAACTTCGGCAAGGCAGCCCATCGAATGAGAATGCAGAGAATTGCCACCGAGCGGCGTGAGGCGGAGGACGCGCCGATGGGAGCGCTTGCAGAAGGCCGGGACCGGATCCCGCTGGTGCGTAGCAAGCCGACAGAACCATGGTCACACCACAGACAGATGGATTTTGGCGACGTACCAGCACATGAGCTGACAAGGTATGTGCAAGAGAATGAGAGTTGAATGAGGGCTGCTAAGTGGATGCGAGAATCACGGGAGGTCTATTTACAAGCCGCAAAGCTCGAGGCTGATCACGAGCCGTGGGAACATCTGTTCAGGAAGAGGAGGTAACGCTTTTGAACCTGATGGGAAGTTGCAAAACTACAAGGCACTTAGCCTTTCCCCAAAAGGCGACTGGAAGAAGACGCTGAGAGCGCACTCGCTGCCGCCTGCAAGCGTTGGACTGAGTCTGGGTGATTTGGGGAACAAGCTATGGGGCTGTTGCTGTGGTCGCTGTGACGCTGCCATGGCAGCCGCTTGTTGGGTCTGGCACACAGCGCGGAAAGCACCACAACTGTAACGGCGTTCACTTCGACCAAACATCCTGCAAGCCTTCAATCGTAACCACACACTCAATATACTAGGCTCTGTCGTCATTCGCTCAGTTCTTGAAGATTTGACTCGCGCCGAGACGAGGTTTCTTTACGGCGCACTCTTCTCTGGGCGCCGGCAAGATCGATGACTTTCCGCAAAGCATCATTGTCGGAGCCCAGTCATCCTCGAAACCATCTGTGCCTGAAGCCATCTCTTATGTTCATCTCCCGGCTTATGAGGGCGCTTGCACTCGACTTGTAGCTGAGAGGATTCTTCGTGACTATCCATCTATCAATGCGATAATTCGGTTCGCGGATGACGGCAGACCACCCCACTCGCTGCAAGTGTTGACATGGATGCGAAGGCAAACAGATCAACGAATCAAGAAAGCAGATGGCCTCTCAGATGTTAAGGGCCTTCTGCGCCTCAGATTACAGTACAGGGTCGGACTTTTGTCCTCTTCGGTCGACCTGCCTGGTATTTTCCACTCGTCGTCCGCGACGCCAGCAAGTGAGGGCATGTTGACCGCTGGACCTCGCGGAAAGCTCCATGCGAAGGTCGAACAGCATCTTTCTGGCTGTCATCGTTACCAACGATCTGCTAGCTGATCAATTTGATATGACGAAGGCAAAGGAGCAAGACCTGACAAAGGTCCGAACGCTTGGTGTGATAACAAAGCCAGACGTGTTCCTCGAGGTTCCTTTCAGCGAGGTGGAGTGTCTGAGCCTTATCACTTTCTTCAACGACAAGAGACTGCTCACATGCGGGTATTGGCCGGCAAATCCTCTGCAACTGCGCAGCATTTGAGGATGATCTCGGGCTCAGTGGAGGGTGAATCTCCCGCGTAAAAAGCCTGGTCCTCGTTCGTCATCGCCAGCCGTGGAACAATCGCTATTCTGACTAAGCCGGGTCACGCTCTCCTCAGAGAGAAAAGCCTACCTTCGATTCTCGAAAACATCCAGAATGGCCGTGAAGGCATCAAATCCAGCGTGGCAAGGCCTTACCCCACTAGTGTACAATCATGACCATTTGTTGCTTCGTTTTCTGCATTTATGACCAGCGTTTCTGAGGTCAAGAAATGCAATGTGCTTCAAAAACTCCAAACATGGTGGTCGCTGCCTGATCTAGACTAAATTGTGGAGCTATCACGATGAATTACAGTGCGCATTTGCGGAGAGGTATTGAGGTGGATGTGGATGCACATCGCTTTCTAAGAGATGGCACTATGTGGAGCAACGGAAACATCTAGTACGCTCCCCTTAAGGGAAAGCGACTTAAGTATGAGAATAATCGTCGTTATTGTGGCATGATCCGTTATGCTCAGCCTCTCAAACCCCCGTCTTTACGCAGAGGTTAGACAAGGGTTTGCGCCAGAAGCCAACATGAAGGTGTGAGGGACTCAGCACTTGGGTTTCGGTCCAGTCATTTATGGATGCCACCGCTATCCTGACAAGAGCCATGACAGACAACGGCCAATTTTCCTTCCAACCGAGTGACTTTCGCGAATACATATGTAACCCGCCAGATACGAACACCATGTTAGGTGGGCATGCGACCAACACCAGTGTCTAACAAAGCTAACATCGAGAGCAAGGGATGACATGAAAGGAGCAAAAGAATGGGGGGAGGGGACATCCAGCTTTGGGCAGAGTACTCCGTACATGACACAACTTTTTTGTTCAATTTTCCATCTAGGCAAAACGTACTGGGGACGCCCATGTGTTTGTTGCGCAAGTCCCTTCCTCAGCTCCCGCACGTCGAATCCGTACAAAGCACGTCTCGGCACCCATACGACTGCCCTTCACCTACGCGACCAGCAGGTGCAAACAAAGGCTAGAAAGTTTACGCTTCGTTTGTTCTGCGGCGCTTTCGGGGCTGCCCTTGTGGTCCCATCTGCGATTCGGTTGCGATGGCTGAGATTTCATTGATTCCCCCGAACCTGGCCAACTGAGTCAGCAAAGCTTGATGG